CCTGTAGTTCCAGCTACTCGGAAGGCTGAGGCGAAGGATCGCCGGAGCCCAGCAGGTCGAGGCTGCGGTGGCCCGGAGTGGCCACTGCACTCCAGTCTGGGCGACTGAGTGAGACTCCAACTCAAAAAAAAAAAGAAACCACAGACACTGGAGAGGATGCGGGGAGGGGAGGAAATGACACTTCTACACTGTTGGTGGGAGTGTAAACTAGTACAATCTCTGTGGAAAACAGTTTGGCAATCCCTAAAAAATCTAAAAATTGACCTTCCATACGACTGCGCAACGCCCCTACTGGGAATATGCTCGGAGGAACTCATCAAATAACTCTATGAAGAAGATACCAGCACATGCATGTTTACTGCAGCATTATTTACAACAGCAAAAACATGGAACCAACTGTGCTGCCCGAAGAAAGAGGACTGGATTTTTAAAACGTTGCACATATACACAAAGGAATATCACACAGCCATAAAGAAGGCTGAAAATATGAACTTTGCAGCAACGTGGATGACCTCGAACAACTATCATAATACCATAAGAAAGGGATTGGCAGTAGTGGGAATCTGCCTGGGGAAGGAGAGGCACACCTCATCCACAAGGGTACCTGCGTAATGAACATCTGTATCCCTAATCCTGAATTGTACTCAACACCTTTAAAATAAAATTAAAAAATTTTGAATAAAAGGTAACTATGCAGGTAAATATAAAAGCCAGTATTATGGTACTTTTGATTTACAACTCTTCTATCTTTCCTATGTTATTCCAAAACAAATAGATTAAACAATATTTTAAAATTTACGTTAATGAACACACTATATATAAATGTACTCTGACAATAATAATAATAAAGGGGGAAATGGAGATGCAGAGTGTTTCAATACTATGGAAACAAAATCAATATAGATGTTCAACAATGATGGGATTATACACCAAATAAATCCATCATAAAGTTGAAAAAGTGTTAAGTCAAACCATCACAAATTGGAGACTATATCATTAAAAGTTGTGACTGGGCATGGTAACTCATACCTGTAATCCCAACACTTTGAGAGACTGAGGCTGGAGGATGGCTTGAGCCCAGAAAGTTGAGACTAGCCTAGGCAACATAGTAAGATCATGTCTCCACACACACATAAAAATATTAGTAGGGCATGGTGGCACATGCCTGTAGTCCCAGTTACCTGGGAGGCTGAAGCTGGAGAATCGCCTGAGTCGAGGAAGTCGAGGCTGTGCTGCGCTGTAATCATGGCACTACACTCTAGCCTGAGTGACACAGTAAGATCCCCCACAAAAAGGTAAGTTGAGCTGGGTGGGGTGGTTCATGTCTGTCACCCCAGTACTTTGGGAGGCTGAGGTGAGAGGATTGCCTGAGCCTAGGGGTTTGAGACCAGCCTGAGCAACATGGCGAGACCCTGTCTCTCCAATAAATCAAAAAATCAGCCAGGGCTGGGCTCAGTGGCTCAGCCTGTAACTCAACCACTTTGGGAGGCCGAGGCGAGTAGACTGCCTGAAACTTGTGGGTTCAGGACCAGCCCCAGCAACTGGGTGAGACCACCTCTCAATGATAAATAAAAAAATAGCCAGGTGTGGTAGCGTGTGCCTGTAGTTCTGGCTACGTGGAAGGCTGAGGCAGAAGGATCGCCAGAGCCCAGCAGGTCGAGGCTGCGGTGTCCATGAGTATGCCACTGGATTCCAGCCTGGGCGACAGAGTTCACGACTCCAACTCAAAAAAATGCAAGTTGTTATAAGTTTAAGATTTAATTGTAGCTGAGCTTGGTGGCTCAGCCTGTAATCCTGTGCCTTGGGAGGCTGAGGTGAGTGGATTGCCTGAGCCTGCGGGTTCGAGACCCGCCTGGGCCACTTGGCGAGACCTCATCACTACAATAAAAATCAAAAAATCAGCCGGGCATGGTAGCATGTGCCTGTAATTTCGGCAATTCAGAAGGCTGAGGCGAAAGGATCGCCGGAGCCCAGCAGGTCGAGGCTGCGGTGGCCGGGAGCGGCCAATGCACTCCAGTCTGGGCGACTGAGTGAGACTCCAACTCAAAAAAAAAAATCTTGATCCATGTATATGCAGTCTACAAAAGACTCACTTTAGATACAAAGACACAAACAGGTTACAATAGGAATAGAAAAAGATACTCCATGCAAATTGTAACCAAAGGAAAGTTAGACTGGCTATATTACTGTCAGACAAAATAGACTCTGTGTCAAAAAAGGCTGCAAGAAACCAGGCATGGCAGCTCATGCCTGTAGTCCCGGTTACTTAGGAGGCCGAGGCAGGAGTTCAAGGTTACATATAGTGAGCTATGACAGTGCTACTACACCCCGACTAGGCAACAGAGTAAGGCCCTACTGCTGGGAAAAAAGAGTTAGAAAACACTTTGAGATAAATGAAAATAAAAACACAACATATAAAAGCTAAAAGATTCAGCAAGCTGGGCTCAGTGGCTCAGCCTGTAATCCTGAGCTTTGGGAGGCTGAAGTGAATGGACTGCCTGAGCCCGCGGGTTCAAGACCCACCTGGGCAGCTTGGCAAGACCTCATCTCTACAATAAATCAAAAAAATCAGCCGGGCGTGGTAGTGCATGCCTGTAATTCCGGCTACTTGGAAGGCTGAGGCGGAAGGATCGCCGGAGCCCAGCAGGCGAGGCTGCGGTGGACAGGAGTGGCCACTGCACTCCAGTCTGGGTGACAGAGTGAGACTCCAACTCAAAAATAAATAAATAAAACCACAATGAGATAGCATTTCACAACTACTAGAATGGCTATGATTTAAAAAGAAAAGTGCTGCTGGGCTCGGTGGCCCAACCTGTAATCCTGCGCCTTTGGGAGGCTGAGGTGAGTGGATTGCCTGAGCCCGCGGGTTCGAGACCCGCCTGGGCAGCGAGACCTCATCTTCTACAATAAATCAAAAAATCAGCCGGGTGTGGTAGCGCATGCCTGTAATTCCGGCTACTCGGAAGGCTGAGGCGGAAGGATCGCTGGAGCCCGGCAGGTGAGGCTGAGGTGGCTGGGAGCGGCCACTGCACTCCAGTCTGGGCGACAGAGTGAGGCTACAACTCAAAAAATAAAAAAAAAAAAAGAAAAGAAAAGTGCTAACAAGGATAGAAGAATTGGAACCTGCACGCATTGCTGAGGGGAATGTAAAATGGAATGGAGCTATGGCAAACAGTGTGGTGGTTTCTCAAGACCTAAAGCACAGAATCAGCCACAATCCCACTCGAAGGCAAACACCCCAAAGAACTGAAAACAAGGACTCAAACATACTTGTACCCCGACTTTCACAGCATTATTCACAATAGCCAAAAGGTAGAAACAACCCAAAAATCTTCTAATAGATGAACAGATAAGCAAAATGTAGTTTATCTATACAACAAAATATTATTCAGCTATAAAAAGAAATGAAGTTCTGATATATGCTACAACATGGATGATCACTTAAACCTTATGGTAAGTAAATAAGTCATGTACAAGAGGATAAATAGTGTATGATTCCACTTCTATGAGGTATCTAGAATGGGCAAATTCACAGAACCACAAGTAGAACAGAAGCTACCAGGGGATACAGGAGGGGAGACTGGTGAGTTCCTGCTTAATGGGTATAGAGTGCTAGGGATGACGAAAAAGTCCTGGAAATAACAGTGATGGCCACACAGCATTCTGAATGTACTTAATCGAACACTTAAAAATGGGTAAAATAAATTCCGGCTACTCGGAAGGCTGAGGCGGAAGGATCGCCGGAGCCCAGCAGGTCGAGGCTGCGGTGGCCGGGAGCGGCCGCTGCACTCCAGTCTGGGCGACAGAGCGAGACTCCAACTCAAAAAAAAACCAAACAAGGTAAAATAGTGAACTCTGTGTTATTCAAATTTTACCACAAGAAAATAAAACAAGCAAGAGAGACAACAGGAGAACTTGCACACTGTCAAGTGCCCAACACGATGCCTGGCACCTTATAGGTTCCAAGTCCATCATGTCTACAACCTCCTCATGCCCAAACAGCCATCTTCCATTTTTCTTAAGATTTTACATGAGATGATAAGATTAGGATTAAGAATGTGATAAAACCAAAATCAGGAGCAGAACAAGACAACCAGAAATAGGACAGCAAAAGGCATAAATGTAGCCTCATAGTAAGAGCAAGACCAACTACGAGAAAACAAAAGCAGAGATCTGAAAGGATCATTTGAGCTCTGTGGACTCTTTCCTCTCCCTAGTTCCCAGACCCAATGGGTTTCTCTCGATTGTTTTCAACGAAGCGTATCCAACATAGCGGTACCATACAGCCATCACCAATATTCAGCCAATGACAGTTATTTATTGTTTCCTGAGCAAAAAGTGAAAAAGATCAGAATCTTACCATCTCATAAGCAAACGTTTCTTGTCTGCAGACTCGATCTATCGTAATGGTTTCTTCTCGATGTTCTAAGAACTTCTTTCTAACCCTGTTGTAGATATAAGAAAAATCAAAGTTCAATATTCAATACTGGAGCTTCAAAAACATCATTAGCTTTTTTTTAAAACTAATTTTAAAGTGTCAAAAATAGCCAGGCTCGGTGGCTCAGCCTGTAATCCCGTGCTTTGGGAGGCTGAGGTGAGTGGATTGCTTGAGCCCGCGGGTTCGAGACCTGCCTGGGCAACTTGGCAAGACCTCATCCCTACAATAAATTTAAAAAATCAGCCGGGTGTGGTAACGCGTGCCTGTAATTCCGGTTACTCAGAAGGCTGAGGCAGAAGGATCACCAGAGCCCAGGAGGTCAAGGCTGCAGTGGCCGAAGCAGCCACTGCACTCCAGTCTAGGCGACAGAGTTAAACTCCAACTCAAGAAAAAAAAGAAAAAAAAAGTACAAAGAGTACCCTTAAATCTCTTGTTCACCGTCTCCTAAGTTAATATCTTACATTATCAAAGAATTATCAAGAACAGAAAATAAACACTTATCCACTATTATCAGTTACAGACCTTTCTCAAATTTCACTTGATTTTTAAAGTAAAGCCGGCCTTTTTTCTGTTCCTGTCCAGGATTCCACAAGACATCTGTTCTTTTTCTTTAGTCCTCTGGAGTCTTTTACAGATCCTGTCTCTCCCTTTCTTTCATGACCATGACACTTTCTTGAAGCTCTAATTATTTATTTTGTGAGAAGGTTCTTCAAGTTGTGTTTGATCCTGTTTCCTCATGACTGAAGCAAACTTAGCAATTTTGGTAAGAAAACCACAAGAATGATGTTGTCCTTCTCCGTACATCGTATCAAGAGGTTCACGATGTTAATACATAGTATTTCTGGCGATGTTTACCTTGGCTGAGTTTATTTTGGGGGAGACACTTTGACATTGGGCAAATCTCGCTTCTCCTCAGACCCTTCCCAGGAATCGTAGCTCTCATCATGATATATGCCTAACTATGACTCTCTCTTTCCCTTCTAGATGGAGTCACTGGAATTCTATTATGAGATTGACCTCCCACTTATTTATTTGGTCATTTCTCTTGGTACAAACCTGTATTTATTTTATTGTTTGTGATAAAATCTAATACTATCATTACTTTATTGCTCAAATTGTTTCAGCCTTGTTCATTAGTAGCTCCTTAAGGTTGGCTCCTGTTCTTTCGAAAGTTCCCCCTCCTCCACTTTTTTTTTTTTTAGCATTTCCTTACTTCCTGGCACCACAAAATGCTCAAGAATCATCCTGTATGTTTCTTGGTTCAGCCTAGAGATCAACCACTTCTTAAGAGCTATAGTGCCATTACTGGAGAAAGGTGTTCAGAGACCAGTATCTGGGTGCTAGTCATTCTCCTTGTTACTAGAGTCACTGCCTCTAGGCTTCTCAATTGAGATAGGCAGGAAACACACTTAGGTACAAATGCATACTGATACTTCTCACACCAAGCTGAAACCACAGGGCTCATTTTAACCTTCAGTGTTTCCTTTCTCCAACTTCTTTGTCCATGAGTGAGAAACCCAGTTTTCATTTTTGGCAATCTATGAACTTATTTGCTCAATTCCAGTAAATACAAAAAGCAGGCATAGAATTGCTAACTGGTGCCCTTGTGGGAAACACTAACTTGTAAACAAAGAGTTCTTTTTATCTTCAGCCTTACAACACTGTATCAAGATATGCTTTTAGGCTCAAACCTGTAATCCCAGCACTTTGGGAGGCTGAGGTGAGAGGACTGCCTGAGCCCACGGGTTCGAGAACAGCCCAGGCAACTTGGCGAGACCTCGTTTCTACAATAAATTTTTAAAAATTAGCTGGGCATGGTAGCATGCACCTGTAGTTCCAGCTACTTTGAAGGCTGAGGCAGAAGGACTGCCTGAGCCCAGCATGTCGATGCTGGAATGGCCGTGAGCGTGCCACTGCACTACAGCCTGGGCAACAGTGTGAGACTCCAACTTAAAAAAAAAAAA